CTCTTCTCCAGACTAAACAATCCCAGCTCCCTTCTCCAGGCCCTTTAGCAGATGTACTGGTTTGGGCTGGGATAGTGTTAGCTTTCTTCATAGCAGCTCATATGGTGCTATGTTTTGTATTTGTGACCTAAACAGTGTTGATAACATAGGGGTGTTTTAGCTGTGGCTGAGCAGTGCTTACACAGAGTTAAGGCCTCTTCTGTTTCTCACACTGCCCTGCCTGCAAGTAGTCTGGGGGTGCACAAGAAGTTGGGAGGGGACACAGCTGTGACAGATGACCCCAAACGACCAAAAGCATATCCTATACCATATGGTGTTGTGCTCATCAATAAAAGCATTGGTGTTTGTCTTCCCAAGTTACTGCTATGCATGATGAAACCCTGCTTTCCTGGAGATGGCTAAACATCTGCCTATTGACGGGAATTAATGAATGAATTCCTTATTTGCTTTGCTTATGTGTGCAGCTTTTTCTTTACCTATTAAACTGTCTTAATCTCTACCCATGGGTTTTCTTGATTTTACTCTTCTGATTCTCTCCCTCTTCCCACTGGGGCAGAGTGATCAAACAGCTGTGTGGGGCTTAGCTGCCTACTGTGGTTAAACCACAACAGTCCTTTTTGACTCCCAACTTGGGGCTCAAAGGCTTTGAAGTAACGAGAGATTTGATTAGAGTGTGCTAGACTGAAACTGTAGCTGTTACAGCTGTTTAGTTATTAACTGGCAGGCTCCTGTACTTGCCATGGGGCTTGCTTGCCTTACTGTGTATTAGAGTCTACTGCTCCTTAGTGGCTACTTTTTGAGTTTGATTTTTGTTGTACTGCCTATCATCTTACTCTGCTGTGCCTGGGAACATTTTGATAACAGTGACGGCCATGCATCTGGGCTGGCAGATGCCCAGGGCATCACTGCTGTTTCTGTGCTGCTGTACTGGACAAGCTGGAACTCCAGTGTAAACTTGAGTTAAAGGAACTGTGACCTGTGGATAGGTACTTGTAGGTACACTTCAAAGCATTTGTGGCCACACATATGTCCACACTGCAGCAGGTAAACTCCTGAAATCATCGTGGCCCAAGGTTAAGTCCACATTGGAGCAGGCACACCTTGAAGCATCGGTGGCTATGGATAGGCCATGCTGGAACATTTCAAAGTGTCTGTGGATGTGGATAAGTCCACGCCACAGCAGATTTACCCCTAAAGAGTCTGTGACCCATGGTTAAGGCCACAACACAGTAGGTACATGTCTAAGAAATGGTGGCCGTGGCTAACGCCATGCTGGAGCAGGTACACCCCAGAAGAGAATGTGACCCATGAATCAGTCCATGCTGGAGCAGGGGCAAGGGGAGGAGTTCTTTACTGTGTTATACCCTATGGCCTGATCTAAAAAGACTGGGCTTGGAGATTGTAATGAATATACCTTTAAATTGTTGTAACCCATGACTTAAGTTGCATGTTACAGGAAATACTATAGCAGGAACCACCTGAACCAATGAAGGACAAGTCTCACAAGAAACAGTGCAAGTGCAGCACGGACCTGACCTGAGGCAGCTTTGGTGCCCAATAACTTCATGGAACACACCACCTCTCCTGTCCTCAGTGACCACCATAACAGACGCAGCCCAAGGTCATGGACTAAATTACATCAACACACATTTTATGAGTATTTTATGAACGTTTTATGGACATTTTACAGGGGTGGCCCATAGACTAAGGGAAAAAAAAGAAAAGCTGTCTACTGGGGTTAGTCCACAACACTAGTGATGTGGTTTATTTGAGTTCTAGGAGTTAATTTACTTGGTATGACATGGCAAAGTGGATTAAGAAGCTCAAGGGATATCTAACCACATTGAACATGGTACTTGGACTGAAAACTCACAGGATTCGAACAATAATTTTAAGCAGGTAATCGGAATTGATTGTGCTTTCACTGAGGTCCAACAGGATTGGCTTTTTATAGTTGGCCATCCATTATTTAATATCTTGAAAGACTTGGAATAAAATTAGTGACCAATGAAGCTGCAGATGAACAAAGAATGACAAAGAATGAAGCAGAAAGGACACCATGTTACTTTTTCAGCAATGTATTATCAAACAGTATACATTTTAACACAGAAAAATAAAAAGACATACACCTTGGAGCAAAGAATGCTAGGCTGTAGAGAAGAAGCCCTGGGAAGCACAGGCCCTGAGTAAGACACAGAGATCATACTGGATAATTAGGTAAATATGAGCAGACAATATGGCCACTGTTGCCAAAATCTGTCAATTTATAAATGAAAATATTGATAAAAATACCTGACTTATTCTGCTTCTGCATTTGGCACTATTTCAACTTCTATTAATATAATATGTCCGGTTCTGGTATTCATAATTCAAGAAGTAGGTTGTTAAGTTGGAGGCGATTCAAGAAAAGCCTCAAGACTAATCATGGTATTAGGGGAAAAGAGAGTGGGAGTATTCACGAAGCTAATTGCTTTAGGATCATGAAGTCACAAATGGAAAAATATTATTGGACCAATGCCCCAGTCCTATTCTGAAACTACCTATGAGAAAGACTCTGTTGAAAAGAGAAGAAATCTAGAGAGGATTTATGTCTATAGGCTAAGTTAGCTTCTGTGGATTTCTATCTTGGTATTGCCGCAGGAAACAGCTATATGACAAGAGAAGGTTTTTCAATCTAGTAAAACAAATTGTAACAGAACCCAACATCTGGAAATTGAAACCACAATAATTCTGCATATTTTAAAGTTGAGAAATTAACTAGTGGAAAAGTTTACAAAAGATCACTTGGCAGTTCGTTACTAAAAATATGAAAATCAAGACTAATTTGTTCCTATGTGAGGTATTCTCACTTAAACTGAAATCAGTACAGGAAAGTTGTGTAAAAAGTCAGGCTAGGTGATCACAATTTCCTTTTCTGATTTTATGGGTCTGTGATGTTCAGAAATTTGAATTAGAAACTTAACTTCATTTCAGTCTAGTTAAGAGACGGCTACCACATATCCTGAGCTGGTAAAAATCTGGGATCTAGATGCATACTATTTTGAAAAATTCAGACTTAAACAACAAATTGTTAGTTTTATGAATCTCAAAGAATTTGATGAACAGTGCTCAAAAAGAAACTACTTTCCAAGCAAATATTTCCAGGTCCAACAAGTCATAATGTAGAGATGTACTAATATTTAAATTTACAAATAAAAGAACCAAGAAATAAAGATTTTTAGAATCAGCAGGAGAAGAACATTTTCAGACAGTTTAATAACTACTGAATGATATTTAAACATTGAGAATGTTAGGCCCAGATGGGCATGCTGTGAACTACTCATAATGTTAAATGCTAATATTCATAAAACAACTGCTTTCACCGTTTATGGATTGAAATACATAAAACTGTTGCAGGCCTATTATTGTTGCTTTCAGCTGTGAACCTTGAAGAGGTTTTGATTTTAGCAGTTAATTGTATATCAGCAGAGAATTTCCTGAATTTTTCCTAGCTTTAACATACAGTAAAGTCGTAAGTGCCTCAGAGTTAAGATTAGTGGTCTGTGTGGGCTTGAGGTTCAAGATATGAATATTGTGTCATTGCTCACAATGCACTATAGGCTACCCATGCCAAAGGAACGGGACAATCTGTTCATGCATTTTGATGACACAGAACTAACATAACCAACATGCATACCAAACCTCATGCATACCTCAGCATACTGCATTACTGAGTATTGATGCTTTAAAGGACAGTATTTCCTGAAAATCTATGTAAAGTACTGTAAAGGACCTATTACTGTGCACAGTCTAGTAGAACTACACCCAAAATAAAGCAGGTGATAGTAACGTTTTTAAATGGTGAGTGAGCACTAAGTATCAATATACTCACACTACCTTTTAAACAAAGAAGCAACAGTACAAATGAATCAGAAAAGGTTTGAAAACACAATTTTCTTGAAAAAGAAAAGTAGGGTGAACTAAAATTTTGTTTACCTGTATGTTGCTCAAAACCATAGTTCTGTTTATTGTGTTAACTGCATGCATACCTCAGAGGTTACTAATCAGTTTACTAAAGCAAATAAAGACAAGACGCACTTTGCAGGGACAGGAGGTGAAGTTGAAGGAACACTAATTTTTATTTCAGTGAAAGACCTAAATATCTCCAGTCTTAGCTGACAAAAATAATCTCTTTCTACTGTAATGATTTATGGGAGGCATATCTAGTTGCTTTATATCCCCATTTTCCCCTGTGGTCTCAGTTCCCACAACAAGCTGCCTCACTGGGGTCATGGAACTGTCATGAAAAACACAATCTGATCAGAAAGCTTAATCCAACTGATTGTGAAGACAGAAGAAAACAAAATTAGACTAGACAAGACTAGAATATTTCAGCTGGAAGAGGCTTACAATGATCATCTAGTCCAACTGCCTGGCTACTTCAGGGCTAACCAAAAGATAAAGCAAGTTATCAAGGGCACTGTCCAAATGCCTCTTAAACACTGACAGGCATGGGGCATCGATCACCCCTCTAGGAAGCCTGTTCCTCAGTAACACATGCTTCCTAATGTCCAACCTAAACCTCCCCTGACTGAGGCAGCATTGAAGCATTCCTGTCACTGGATACCAGGGTGAAGAGATCAGCACCACTTCCCTCACTCACCCACCCAAAGGCTGTAGAGAGCAATAAGGTCACCCCTCAGCCTCCTTTTCTCCAAACTAGACAGATGATCCTCATACTACATTTCTTCCAGCCCCTTCACTGGCTTTCTTGCCAAGACCTTCACATCTTGATTAACTTGTGAGGCCTAGAACAGCACACAGCACTGCAGGTGAGGCTGCAGACCGGCTGTTTATGCTGTGTTGGATGTACCCCAGGATGGCATTTGCCCTTTTGGCAGCCAGGGCCCACTGCTGTCAACCAGCACACCCAGATCCCTTGCTGCAGGGCTGCTCTCCAGGTACTCACTCTCCCAACGCTGTACCTGTGTTGGACGTTACTCCATCCTCAAAAACATTCCTGGCAGTGGTGGGATTTGAACCCACGCCTCCAAAGAGACTGGAGCCTTAATCCAGCGCCTTAGACCGCTCGGCCACACTACCTGGGTGCTGGTGCCAATTCACTCTCCAGCACTTATATCCCTCACCCATAATTCAAATTTTCACAGGATGTTTTAAAACAAATACACCCCATCCATGACTTAAATATAGTAGGAAAAAGGACCAATAAGGGTTCTTTCTGTATACAATCCTTGCAGTGCACCACACATTTTGGGTCCCCTCATTAGCTGTCAAGAAACAGCAGCTGGAAAGTTCTACAAATACCTCCTTGCCTATGAACCTATGATCCCTTCGCAAGAAAAGAAAGGGTGATGGTATACTTTTGGGAGGAATGTGTGCTGACTTTGCATTCAAGTTTATATTTTCATATTTTTGGAGTGTAATGAGACTGGGGCAATGAAACATCTGTCCCTTCATGCAAACACAGACACTGCAGTGCTTACATCATCTGTTCTAGGCCTCTAACAGATGCAATTTGGAGGACCGATGTTAAGTACCAAAGTTCTCGAATGAATGAATGAAGAAATCTAACTTCATGCATCAAAGCAAGTCAGAGCATCAAAATTAGATGTCTAAAACAAGGAATATGGGTACTCTGCTACTATGCAATATGTCCTGGCATGAGGGAAAAAACAGAGTGAAGTCCTAAGTATTTATGCATTAATCAGTGACGCCTGAAAAGCATGGAATTCAAGGGCTTGTTTTATGATCATTTTGACATTTCCAGGGACAGGTCAAATGAAACATATATTACAGATTTCTTTGATTCTACCTAAACGCTTTGCCATCTAGGTAGTTGCTTTCCTGATTCTGTTGTTCTTCAGTGCTGCTTCTGCTCTCAATGCCCTCCTGTCGAGTAGATAATGTGTTGTCAATAACTCAGCAATACTAGATGCTCCAGCAACTTGAACAAACTGTATATATCTATAACTATACAGAAACTGGATGATGAAACTTCTTTAAACCTGTTAGAGTAAGTAGTCTATACCACACAGTTGCTACAAATATTGGATATAACATATATACTTACCAGAGGTAGAGTGTGCAGATGCTGCATTTAATTTTGTAGATTAGTATTTCTGGGCCAAATTTTTCTTAGTCCTCCATACAAACTGAGCTAGTAACAGTAACAATTTAAGTCCCTTATAGCATGTGCAACATGAAATACCCTGTTTGGGTTATTTCTAACATTTAGATGCTGATTCTGTGTACATAGCTAATAGTCCAACCTTATATGAACCTGATCTTCCCAGATGGACAGCAGTGTAGGATTTGTCTGTCAAGTGATTCAAAACATATGAACCTCACTGGTAAGTGCTAATAGCCCTGTGTCTAGATTCTCTGACATCCTATTGAGCTGTAACTTATGACACAGTCCTTACAAATCATGTCCTCTTATCTTTGAGCTAGAGTCAAGTGAATTTTCCTTTTTGTACAATATTGATATGAGCTACCTCAGTGTTTATGGAATGGCATTGCTCCTGGGATTCAGCTCCAATGCCTTGATGCACTCACAATATAAACTGATACCATCTATTTGTTTTTAATTATATTAGTAGTTGCTCCCTCTTTCCTAAGTAAATTTTGTATTTAGTATTAATCCCTGCATAATTAAGGTCTCTAAGGAAGCATTAGTGAAAAAGATTTTGCAATATGCAAGTGAACCTAACTTCTTCCTTACATGAAGAGTTGTATTTCTACTCCTCTTGATTTAACGGAAGCACACAGCTTATATTCCTTAGCTCTACAATAAGTTTTTCCAGATTCTTTCGCTTTGTATGCTTTTTTTAGATCATTCCCCCAGCATGCAGAAGCACAACGGAAGGCTTGCTCATATGGAGCATTCTGTTTGATCACGAAGTGCTTAATCAGGTCATCCATTATATCAGGTTATCTTTGCAGGAGTTGGTGTGCATAGTGATATTGTCAATGATTAGCCAGAAGCTATGGCATTGTGTTATGTTTGGCCAGTGTAGTATTTTCATGTTTCAAGCATTATATGTATCTTTATGGACTTCATATTGTTAGCACCCCCAACTAAAAGGGTAAGATAAAGTAGCCCTCCTATAAGAACTAAAGACACTAGGGATGGTAATTATCCTCATTGCTGAAGCAACGTTTTTTTCTTGGGACTTATATGCATCAGGCTTGATATGTCAGCAGGATAAAAAAATCAAAGAGGATAATTCTATATGAAAAAACAAGCTAGATGTGTAAGAGGAACACACTCTAGTTGAACACACAGGACAGCAAGGCCCTGAACAAGAGTGTACAGGAAGTTCAAATCCACTAGGATATTCAAGGGGAGGAAGAGTGACTATGCAGGAAGCTCGTGCACACCCAGCCATATAAACAGTTTCTTGTGTTAGGATCATGGGATTGTAGGATAGGATTTTGCGATAATTTAGGGTGAAAGGCAACTGTGGAGATTTCTAGTTCAACTTCCTGCTCAAAACAAGGTAATCTCTGTGGGCAGAACAAGTTGTTCTGGATTTTATCCTGCTGGGTCTCAAAAACCTCCAGTGATGAACAGAGATTGCACAACTTCTCTGGTTAACCTCCTTACAACCAAGCTTCCACTCCTTGTTTCTGCAGAAAAAGTTTCTTCTTATATTCAGTATGAACCTTATTTCAACTTACGCTCATTGCCTCTTATCTTCCTTCCATGTACCATTGTGCAGTCCCTGGCTCTGTCTTCTCTATAACTTCCCCAGAGATATTGGTGGGAGCAGTTGTTCAGTCTCCTTGAAGCCTTCTCTTCTCAAGGCTAAGCAAGCCAGGCTTCCTTTGCTTGTCCTCGCAGGACAGGTGCTCCGACTCCCTCCTATCTTGGTGGTCCTTTGATGAACTTGCTACAGTTTGTCAATGTCTATCTTGTATTGGGAGGTCAAAACTGGACACAGCACTCCAGATGCAGTCTAATGAGTGGTGAATGGAGGAGGATAGCCACTCCCCTTGATTTACCAGCTCTGCTCCTGTTAATATAGCCCAGGTCGCTGTTGGATTTCTTTTCTGCCAGGACATGCTGTTAATTCAATTTCAGCTAGCTGTCTGACAAGACTCCAGGGTCTTTCACAGAGTTGCTGTCCGACAAGTCTGTCCCCAGCCTCTGTCACTATAGGGGGTTCTTCCTTTCCATGTGCAGGTCTTCATATTTAGCTCTGTTGAAATTCATAAGGTTCCTGTCAGCCCATTCCTTCAACCTGTCCTTCTGTATGGCAGCCCTGTTGTCAAGCATATTGACTGGTCTCCTCAATTTGGTATCAACTCCAAAGCTGATGGGAGTACACTCCACTGCCTTTTCCAAACGATTGATAAAGACATTAAACACAACAGTTTCCAAGTTAAACATCTCTAGTACTCTATTTCTTACCAGCCTCCAACATGAGTATGACCCATTAACTACTTTTTGAGCCCAATCATTCTACTACATTTTCACCCATTGGTTATCCACTCACCCAGCCTTTCGTGCCTTAACTCACATGCAAGAACATGGTAGAAGATAATGTCGAAAGCCTTGCTGAAATTTATGTAAATTACATCCTTCACTCTCCTCTCCTGTAAACCCAGTCAATTTATCGCAGAAGTAAACAGATTGGTCAGGCATGATTTTCCCTCTGTAATCTAGTCACTTTCTTCTCCTTCATGTGCTTAGAGAGGTGCTCCAAGAGGACTTGCTTTATGATTTTCCCAGGGACAAAGTGAGGTCGAATGACCTGTAGTTCACCGGTTTTTCTTTTTTGCTCCTTTTTGAATATTTAGTCATCAGGAATCTCCACCAATCTCCATTACCTTTGAGAGATGACAGAAAGCAGCATTGCAAAGACATTGGTCAGTTCTCTCAGCATCCTTGGAAGAAGCCTGACTTATGGACATGTATAGATCGAGGATTTTTTGGGTAATACCAGTCTTGATCCTCATCCACTGCTAACAGTTCTTCCCCTCCTTCAAGCTTTTCATTAATCACAAAGGCCTGGGAGATACCATTGCTGAAAAATGAGGCAAAAGTGGCACTGAGTAACTCAGTCTAGTTTGCGTCCACTGTCTCTAAGTCACCTGCCCTATTCAGCAATGTTTCCACATTATCCTTTTCAGTGCTTTGCTGCTAATGTAGCCATAGAAAATTTTCTTGTTGCTTTTTACGTTCCTTGCAAGTATCACATCTCAGTGAGTTTTAGCTTTCCTAACACAATCCCTACATACTTAGGTAAAGTTTCTAAATTCTTCCTTTGTAGCCTGTCCCACTTCCACCTCCTCTTTTTTTGCATTTGGACAGTGTCTTCCCACAGGATCCTGCCAAGAAGTTTCCAGAATACACTTAAGGATATTTGCCTGAAGGCCAGGGTCAGTATTCTTGCTCCTCTCTTTCATCAATCCCCTTAGCATTCTGAGCTGCACTCCTTCAAGGTCACCACAGCCAAGATTGCTATTGATTACCATCTCCCCAACCATTTATCCGTTGCCTGTGAATAGCGGAACCAGTTGTGTGTCACACAGGGTTGGTCCACCTTGTACTTCTGTCACCTTCAGAAATCTGCTTGACTGCTTGCATCCCACTGTGTTGTCATTCCAGCAAGAAACACAGAGGTCAAAATCTCCCATAAGAGCCAGGGCCTGTGATACAGAAACTTTCATAAATTGTTCTTTTATGCATTCTCTGAAATAGTATTGATTTGAATAAATTGAATGAGGGGAGTCTGGCCACAAAATAACTTTGTCATTGCCCCTGAGAGACCAGGAATTCAGATGCTGAACTTCTGTGATGTGCTGTGGTGAACAAGGCAGATTCTCAATGTGGAGTCCAGGGACTGCAGTCTTGACAAGTGCAGGCTTGAAAACTAGGTGCGTTAGCACTTTAAGCATGTGTGAGGGGCCTGAAAGTTCAGTAAATCTAGGACTGTAGACAGATGGCCCTAACCTGCACTCCGAATGCAAGTACTTCACAGAAACAGAGCACAAGATCAGAGCCGTGGCAGACCTGAATCTGGTGGCTTACATTCACCTTCAAAAGTCATAGCAATGCCTAATATTTAATTTACAGA